GGAAATATATTTCCGATATATTTTTGTGTACTTTCAGCATTTAAATTGGTGTTAAGAATTTCTAAACACTGAATAAATTATATATTAATAACTGTATGTGCATTGTATATCTCCTTTATTCTTGTGAAATTTTTGTCATGCACTACAATTACTTGTATTTCATTTAATATTTATAGATATTTGTTCTATCTTTATTTATAGGATCTGGACTTAGTTCTTCAGAAGAAGGTGTATTTTGTAGGTAATAGGTTGACTCTTGCTGACATTAGTATCTACTATGGTCTTCACAGAATCTTTGTATGTATCTTTTTCATTAATAGGAATAGTATGATTGACAATAGTTATATAATACCTCATATTTTGGTTTTAGTAAATATGTTTTTTCTTACATTATATTTGTGCATAATCAAAAAACAACAATACTACTTACATTATAATAATGTCTATTATTTCAGTTTTGATTAAAGCTTAAAATCTGTTGTTTTTCATAGTTTTCATATATATTTAAACTATTAGGAACCATTAAGTAAAATATATATTTATATTAATATCTTTTGTTAATATATATTCCTCAAAAAGATTTGTAACAGATATTTGTAAAGTAGTTGTTTTTTGTACATATATGTTTTTAAACTTAATCCACTGACTGCTGATTTGCTATATAAGGTACAGTTTGCCTTGTCAGTTGAATGAGAGTGTGCTGTATACAGTGTATGGCTCGAAAAACTCCACTCGCATTTATAACAGTGAAAAGGTTAATTGTTTTAGTGAGATGATAAGGTAGTGATAAAACTATGTAATATATTTAACTCTAATGTTAAGCTTAACAGTGTTGGCAATAGATTATTTGTTTCCAGCCCCCCAGTGGCACAGCGGTAAGTCTGCAGACTTACAACACTAGAAACCGGGTTTTGATATCCGTGGTGGGCAGAGCACAGATAGCTTTGTGCTTAACTTCAAACAGACAAAATGATTATTTGTTTCCAGTCCCCAGTACTTAAGAGTAGTATAGGTGTTAATTGCTCACAGTATGTCAAGTTTGATAGGTGCAAGTGGGTTTTATTTGGCAACTTGGGACTGGAATGTTCTCTTTTTACATCACAGTCAATTAGTTTATTGATTGGATGATGATGTTAAACAGGCCAGCAAAATTCTGGAATTGGATATGGTGGTGACAGGAAGTTCCTACAGTAACGGATAGCATAAGCAATCGAGGTAACAGGTGCATACCAACTAGTTTTTCCTATTTCATATTTAATAGTGAATGTTGTCTTAGTTTGGAATTCTTGAGTAGATGCAGAAAGAGGTATGACTGGCTTGATCTTTGCATTTACCAATACATTTTATTGTGTTCTTTTCCACCTTTATGATCTTGCTTTTATATCTTCCTATACTTCTTCACAAAATTATAGTCAGTACTGCCATTTTGTATTTTGTTAAAGTTTGTATGTACTTCTTCATTCTTACTATTCTAATCTCTCTGTACATCTCTAGTAACTTCATTGACCCTCTCTTCAATCTGATTTATTTTTATTCTTAATTATTTTTTATATATCATGTCTCTTTCTTTTCCCATCTCAGTATGTTTCAGTATTTTGCTGTTTCAAAATAATACACTGTTGGCTCACTTTGCACTAGATATTGCTTTGTACAAAATAATGGCTAATTTTATACCATGATAATCTTATTGGACTCTTTCTTTAACAAATGCAAGTAGAATGTGCTGATAAGTTTACATCACTTTTTTTAAATTTAACATCTGCCATAAAGAATCCACTTGTTTGAGTATCTAAATGTAGTTGTGTGCATTCTTTTAATCACCATATGATTTACTGGCTCCATATAGTTGTGTTCATATAATATCATAAACCCAATTCAAAGAATTAAGTTTATGTAACTTCTGTTAACCCTCTTTCCAAGAGCATAATTTTCTGCATATGTTACAAGGTTTTAAGTGAGTTACATTCAAAATTTAAATACCAATGAATAGAAACATAGAAACATAGCTAATAATCAATTTCTTAATAGTATATAAGTTGTTATTTTATAAGGCAATATATTATAACACAATCCTGAATTCCCCTAATGTGAGAATTGTGGCATTTTTTCTCTAGGTATCCTTTCTTCTCTAATTTATTTACTACCCCTCCAAGAAGTACAAAATTTAATGTAAATTACTCATAATAATGTCGTCATTGCTCAGGCAAAGCATAATTTTCATAGCTTTCAATCTTATTTGGTTACAGAGCCATCAAATAGGAAATCAGACCCCTCTTGCCACATCCAACTGTCACATCCTTTCTTTCAGAAATTACCAGTGGTTTTTCTCTCCGTCATTTAATACTATATTACTTATAAC